CGGGGGTTTAAGTGGAGAGGAAATGTTTTGAGAATGATGAGGGCAATGAATGTACAAATGCGCTTTACACAATTGATGTGTGTATGGATTTTGATAAGAGTTGTATGAGCCCCTAATAAAATGATTAAAAGAAAAAAAAACACTTAAAAAAAAAAGTCACGTGTACTCATTCGAACAGTTACTGCCTTCATACTAGATTCTAGAAGGAAAATCTGATTACTTCAGATTCCCGTTTAAATTCTTTGAATGATTTTTTACTCCTAGGAGTCTCCAAGTGGTCATGGAATTCCAGGCACTCTTGCATTCTGACTTTGGATCCCCTTGCTGGTCTATCCTTCACCCAAAGCAGAACTGCCCCTGGTCCCCACATACACCACATACCCTCTTCAGTAGGATCATCTGCTGCTTCCTTAGCATGGAATGCTTTCTTCAGCCAAGACCGGTTGCAAAGATCAAGTTTTCTCTGGTCTGTCTTTGAGTCTACAGTGGGATTAGTTATTTTGCCCCGTGCATTTCTGCTGAATGTGGCTCTTCTTTTGTTTAGTCCCTACTTGTTGCATATTGTTATAATTATTGGTTTCCTTCTCCTCCTTTAGGTTTGAATTCTGTGGATACTCGGATGGTGGATTTTCTTGCTTGTTTTCCTTTTGCTTTTGCGTTTCTTCATTCTTAGTACCATCGAGTCACGGTACGCTCATAGGGACCCTGCAGGACAGGGTAGAACTTCTGAGACTGTAACTGTGTGTGGCAATAAAAAGCCTCGTCTTTCTCCTGAGGAGGAGCTGGTGGTTTCAAACCACTGATCTTGTGATTCCCAGCACAGCATCGTAACCACTGCACCAGTAGAGCTCCTAGTGTTTAGCATAGCACGTGGCAAACATAAAATACAGCTTTTGGTTTTCAGTAGCAAAATCTATGAGAGAACATGTAGACAGTATCTCATTACATTACATTATCTCATTGAGAGGGCAGACAAATATTTTGAATTCAAAAGTACAACACCCTAACATTTAATTTTCAGAAACAGAGGCTCCTTTTTACCATCCACAGTTTTAAGTAAGCTGTGTTTCCCCACCCACGGGGTTATGTTAGATTAGAGTTGAATGATATTTTGAAAAGCAAATATTGTCAACTTTTAATTATCTACACCATCAGGACAAAATATGGAAATTCAGTAAATGTTAAAGGAAGATAAATAAGTGAAGAAGACAATTAAGATTATTAATAAAAAATCCAAAATAATTGTTGTTTTTAAAACATAAGTTTACTT